GGTATCTCTATTTGCAACTTTTTGAGACAGCGCCATACTGCTTTCCACAGGGGTTGCACCATTTTACACTCCCACCAACAGTGAATCAGGGTTCCAGTTTCTCCAAAACCTCTTACAACCTTAGAGATAACCAGTGGGTGGTGGCAGAGATTACCCTGAGGTGAGGAAAGCAGGCTGATGCTCGAGGGCCTGCAGTTAAGAGAAAATAGACTCAAAACTCACTGCCACTTAGTGGGAATGAACTTATGGCTGACCACCCAGCAGGTTTTCTGAGGCTATAAATTATATGGGAGGAAATTGTTCAGCTTTCTCCTGCAGAGTCATGGGTGGATTTGAACCAGTAGAGAAGAGGGTGGCCATTGGCTAGCAGTGCAGTTCCCTAAAGGCTACGCCACCAGAGCTTCCTGAATAGAGAAAGGGGAACATTTTTAAATAAGTAAAATTTTTAAAACCTAAGGTATTGATTCAGTGACTGGGATAATTGGGATGGGAGTGTCAGAGACAGTGCGATTGGCACAGGACAGAGCGGAGTTTAGGGCTGTTGTACATAGATAGGGTCGTTATGAGCCTCAGGCCACTCGACGGCACATAACAACAACAACAAGGTGGAGGTAGCTGTGGTGGCCTAGTGGCAAGAAGCTGCACTGCAATCCCTAAGGAACACAGTTTGAATCCACCGCCAGATGCTCCGCTGGAGGAGGAGGGGTAATCTCCTGTGCAGGCTGGATCAGATTCAGATTCAGTCATACACAACAACAAACAAAGAGTTAGGAAGAGCCAAGGCTTAATAACAACACAAACAAAACCCACAAACAAAAAGGAACCCTGAGGTTGAATAGGAGGGACAGCCCTCCTATTTATTAATTGATCCCTTCCCAAGGCACTCTAAGGTGGAGTCCACAGGGAGTTGTGCTGCAGACCTTTAGACTGTGCCTGTCTGGTGGTTCAAAGCTACAAGCTGCTCATCTGGAAGAAGAGACAGTCCCCTCCTATACCATTTACAGCTTCAGAAATAGAGTCAGCTATGAGTTGCTGCCGACTCCATGGAAATGACTTTGATTTTGACATCACTTCCTATCTCCCTGGAGGCTAACTTCTGTTTTAGAGAAAGCTGGGTGTGGGGGAAGCAGGCTGTTTGGGCCTGAGGCTTATGAAGGTGTTCCAGCTTCCTCAGAGGCTGATCTCTAGTCTAGTCCTATGTCCAGGCTCTTCTTTCTGCACTTTATTCATTGGTGCCTCCCTGACTCCCTGACTGGTCTTCTCCCCACCTCCCCAGGCAGTTCCTCTTTGTGGTTGCCTTCACCACCTTCCTGGTCAGCTGTGTGGACTATGACATCCTATTTGCCAACAAGATGGTGAACCACAGCCTTCACCCCACAGAGCCTGTCAAGGTCACCCTGCCAGATGCCTTTTTGCCTGCTCAAGTCTGTAGTGCCAGGTAACAGCTGCAGATCAAGGAACATAATCGGTGTGGTGTGCTAGCAGGTGGGAAATACCCAGACAAGACTCGGGCTCAGTCTAGCAGAATCCATAAGGACAACATCAAGACAACTTCAAACCCACCCTCCACCCTGTCCCTCCCTGAGCAGGATTCAAGAAAATGGCTCCCTCATTACCATCCTGGTGATCGCTGCTGTCTTCTGGGTCCACCGGCTTATCAAGTTCATCTACAACATCTGCTGCTACTGGGAAATTCACTCCTTCTACCTGCACGCTCTGCGCATCCCTATGGTAAGCTCAGGCAGTTAGCATACAGGTTAGCAGCTTGGGGAGGGTGGATACATTGCTCATTCTCCCCTGACGGTCAGGGTGCATTTGCTTTGAGTCCGTTCAGCTAAGCCTCTGCCTCACACAGGGCAGCAACCACACTGACCATGACTTGCCTCCTCTCACCCTACTCCACCTGCAGTCTGCCCTCCCATACTGCACGTGGCAGGAAGTCCAGGCCCGGATTGTGCAGACCCAGAAAGAGCACCAGATCTGCATCCACAAGCGTGAGCTGACGGAGCTGGACATCTACCACCGTATCCTCCGCTTCCAGAACTACATGGTGGCGCTGGTGAACAAATCCCTCCTGCCCCTGCGCTTCCGCCTGCCTGTCCTCGGGGAAGTCGTCTTCTTCACCCGTGGCCTCAAGTACAACTTTGAGTTAATCCTCTTCTGGGGGCCCGGCTCCCTCTTTCTCAACGAATGGAGCCTCAAGCCTGAGTATAAGCGCGGGGGGCAGCGGCTCGAGCTGGCCCAGCGCCTCAGCAACCGCATCCTGTGGATTGGCATCGCCAACTTCCTGCTGTGCCCCCTCATCCTCATCTGGCAGATCCTCTACGCCTTCTTCAGCTATACTGAGGTGCTGAAGCGGGAGCCCGGCGCCCTGGGTGCCCGCTGCTGGTCCCTGTATGGCCGTTGCTACCTCCGCCACTTCAACGAGCTGGAGCACGAGCTGCAGTCCCGCCTCAACCGCGGCTACAAACCCGCATCCAAGTACATGAATTGCTTCTTGTCACCTCTGCTGACGCTGCTGGCCAAGAACGGCGCCTTCTTCGCCGGCTCCATCCTGGCCGTGCTCATCGCTCTCACCATCTACGACGAAGATGTATTGGCCGTGGAGCACGTCTTGACCACCGTCACACTCCTGGGGGTCACTGTGACCGTGTGCAGGTGGGCCCGGGCAACAGGCGGGGGCAGGTTGACCAGTGTTCCCAGGCAAGGCTCCCGCCTCACCAGCATCGCCCCCACCTCCGCCTAGGTCCTTCATCCCAGACCAGCACATGGTGTTCTGTCCTGAGCAGCTGCTCCGCGTGATCCTCGCTCACATCCACTACATGCCTGACCACTGGCAGGGTAATGCCCACCGCTCGCAGACCCGGGACGAGTTTGCCCAGCTCTTCCAGTACAAGGCAGTGAGTGGAGATGGAGTTAGGGCCTGCTAGAGACTGGCTCCTACGGCTTCAGTGTGGAGGGCTGGGTTCCCTGCCCGCTCTTGTGTGACCTTGGCCCCCTTCCTTTCAGGTCTTCATCCTGGAGGAGTTGCTGAGCCCCATTGTCACACCCCTCATCCTCATCTTCTGCCTCCGCCTACGAGCTCTGGAGATTATCGACTTCTTCCGCAATTTCACTGTGGAGGTTGTTGGCGTTGGTGATACCTGTTCCTTTGCTCAAATGGATGTTCGCCAACATGGGCATCCCCAGGTACTAGGACACATAAGGTCTGGGTGGCCAAGGATGGTACTGACACACAGAATGTCTTTGGGGAAAATGGCACTAAAAGTATTGTCCTGCACCAGGAAATCACAGAAACGCAGCCCTGCCTTGGGCAGCTCTGTGCCATGTACTGTTTGGTAGATGGAAGCCGGGGCTGGATTTCAGCACTCACCTTGGACCCTTGGGCGAGTGGCCCTGAGCAGTTGTTCAGCCACAGCAACTGTCCCTGCGTGTAGCCACTCCTAGAACGGGCACCGAGACCCCCTAAACAAGATGCAGCCATGTGCTCCCTTCTCATTCTCCTTTCCTCGTCTCTCCCCATTCCACCAAGACAATCAAGGTAGCCAGTCCCCGTGATAAACCAGGTAAGCGTTCCTGTCATTCCCCTGTGCAGTGGCTGTCGGGTGGGCAGACAGAGGCCTCAGTGTACCAGCAAGCTGAAGATGGAAAGACAGAGCTGTCACTCATGCACTTTGCCATCACAAACCCTGGCTGGCAGCCACCACGTGAGAGCACAGCCTTCCTGGGCTTCCTCAAGGAGCAGGTGCAGCGTGACGGAGCAGCTGCCAGCCTCGCCCAAGGAGGTCTGCTCCCCGAAAATGCCCTCTTCACATCCATCCAGTCCTTACAGTCTGAGTCTGAGGTGTGTACCCAGGAGCTGGGAGATGAAGGGCGGCTGGGCTGCTGGGAGCTGGGGTTTGGAAACGGAGCCTGACGTGGAAAGGCCAACCCTGCCACGTTCCTTTTTTCTATTCCCGGCTGTGCTGTGTGTCCTAAGGTTCAGAATACTTGGGGAGCCAGAGGCCTTGCCTCTGTCCTGAGAATTCTGTCCGCCTCTTTCTTCCCTAGCCTCTCAGCCTCATTGCAAATGTGGTAGCTGGTTCATCTTTCCGGGGCCCACCTCTGCCCAGAGACTTGCAGGCCTCCCGGCACAGGACTGAAGTGGCCTCTGCCCTGCGTTCCTTCTCCCCTCTGCAGCCTGGGCAGGTCCCCACAGGCCGGGCCCCCAGCACCATGACAGGCTCTGGGTGAGTACTACCTGTACATAAACCCCACAGGGGAGCTGTGTGTCCCATTCACTGCCTTCTCGAGAGCACCTTAGGAGTGTGCCTGGTACTTAGGCCCAAGATGGGAGATCGTGGCAGGAGCTCCTGGTGACTCGCTTGGGTCTCAGAAACACTGACATGTGCTGTGTGTCTGTTGGGGGAGACAGGGTGGACGCCAGGACAGCCAGCTCTGGGAGCAGTGTGTGGGAAGGACAGCTGCAGAGCCTGGTGCTGTCAGAATATGCGTCGACCGAGATGAGCCTGCACGCCCTCTACATGCACCAGGTGAGTGGGCCCGAAGCAGCAGGCCTAGAGCCCACGTGGCAGCTGCAGATGTCACAGGGTTTGAGACTTGAAGAAACAAACCAGAGCTTAAATCTCATCTTTAACTAGAGTGTTAACCTCCCTTCCTGCATGTAACATCTTGGGCGATGGCCTTTGTAGCTGGGCTCACTCTTCTTCAGGGTCTTTACATACATGCAGCCCTGAGATAGCCAGGTAACTCTCCTCCTTATTCAGATTTCTGCTGTTAATTTTTCAGTAAGAACTGTCTGATTACTCTGAGTCAAAGCCTCCCTTAGCCCCTTGAATTTCCCTCCTTTATTGTTTCTATAGCATTCATCACTCTGACATGTAACACCTGGTTCTCATTTACTTGTTATTAAGCTTTTTCCTTTGCCATCACTACTGCCTGCACTTTGGCTCCACAGGGGAATTTTGTTTCTTTAGTTCACAGCTGTATCCCTAGCACCTGAAGAGTGTCTGGTCCTTAGATCCTCACGCAACTTGTTCTTGAGTCAGCTGACTACATTGCAGGAAGCCTGCAAGAAGGCCTCACCACAGCCTCCTTTCAGGTTTTCTCCAAGAATTTGCTAGGAATTGAACCCCTGGAGCTTCTTGTACAAGCTCCACATTATGACTTCTAGGTGAAAGGGTCTGGAGTGGGAAACAGCTGCCACCAGAGCAGGTTGCAGCTCTTTCAGAGAGCCTTCTGTGCCCTATTAAAGAGCCCCTCACTTCTCCAGCTCCACAAACAGCAGGCCCAGGCGGAACCAGAGCGGCACGTGTGGCACCGCCGGGAGAGTGATGAGAGTGGGGAGAGCCTCCCTGACGACGGGGGGGAGGGTGCACGGGCTTCCCAGCCAATCCCTCGTTCGGCCAGCTATCCTTGTGCCACACCTCGGCTTGGAGCACCTGAGACCACCGCCCTGCAAGGGGGCTTCCAGAGGCGCTATGGAGGTATCACAGGTATCCAGTGGGGTTACAGGAGGCGATGGGCAGCAGGGACGGGCACCTGCTCCAGGAATTCTAAGGGGTAGAGAGAGATCAGACGGACTGGGCCCAGGGAGTCTAGCTAAGCCCTGCCCCAGCAGCCCCAACCCATCCAAAGTAAACCCACTGGGGTTGGGTTGATTCTGACTATCCGTCAGGTTTCTAGGGCTTTCTGTCAGCCTTTATGGGAGCAGACTGGCCATGTCTCTGCCACAGAGCAGCTCATAGATTAGAACATCCAACCTTTGGTTTGCCAGTCCATCACATAATCCACCACACCACCGAGGCTCCTTCCAGTAGCCCCACCCACCCGAGCCCACTGTCACCAAGTGGATTCTTACAACCCTCCATTGAGTCTCTGAGGCTGTACATTTCTACAGAAGGAAGCTGCCTCCTCTTTGGCTCATAGGGCAGCTGGTGGATTTGAACCAGGTAGCCTTTTGGTTAGCAACCCAACATGTAGTGAACTACACCACCCATAGCCCCAGATCCATTTTATTCCTGTGTGTATGTAGGGTTTATTTGGAAAGTCTACTTGCTTGCCCCTCTAGATCCTGGCACAATACCCCGGGCTCCCTCCCACTTCTCCCGACTGCCCCTTGGAGGATGGGCTGAAGACGGGCAGTCAGCATCAAGGCATCCAGAACCTGTGCCCGAGGAGGACTCGGAGGATGAGCTTCCCCCTCAGGTGCACAAGGTAAGTGAGCCAGGGTCTGAGACAACTGGTAGGAGTAACTCTCAGGCTGAGGCAAAAGCTTCTCTTGAAGGAGGACAGGCCTCCAGCGTGGAGACGACACTGTCCTCCCTCCAAAATACACTCCTCTCCCAGCTGCTGTAGATTCTAGGGCTGGAGTTTTCCTTCCCTCCCTGAAAATCTTTTCCCTTAATTTGCAGGCTTCTGTACAAGTAACCAGGTAGTTGAAGACTATTCTCAGCACAACTATTTTTTCCTCTTTCTTCACAGGTGTAGACCAGGCTGAGGAGGATCCCTGTATCCCAGGATGGAGGCCACTGTTGCCCTGCCATCCCATCCGTCCGCCATGGGGGGCTCCTCTGAGTGTTGCTGGCTCCACGTGTGTGGTGTTTGTGTGTTCGTGCCTGGCCAAGGGAGGTGCCAACGCTGGCCTTGCCACAGCCCCAGCAAAGGAATTTGGGGCGTAGGAATTAGGAGCACACAGGACTCTAGCCTCATCCCCACCCGGCCCCCCCTTGGCTCAGAGTGTGGTGCTAGAAACTGGTCCCCAAGCCCAGCCCCAGTACTGCCACCTTTACACCTACCCCTGCAAGTTCTCCAGAGGGCTGCCCACCACCGAAGCTGCCAAGCAGGGGGACCGTGTGCCAACTGGAGTGGGGTGGTTGGGCTCTGGCCGTCACCCCCAGTGCCCCCCACCGTGTGCAGTTGAGCAGCTCAGGCTGTGGCCCTTACCTCACCTCAGTGCTCCCCCCCATGCTGCAGCCTGCTCACCTCTCCTGCCTCCGCACATCACCGGCATGTGCTGCTTGCTTCCCTTCTGCTGGGCTTACGCTTTGTGTTGGGCTGGATGTCCAGCTCCCACCTCTCCTGACACTACCTTTTGACACTAAGACAGCTTCTAAATCCCTGGAGCAGAATTCAGATTCTTTGCTGCTCTTCCACCTTTTGGTGGGCACCTAAGAGGCCGAGGCCTCCTCAAGGTGCTCATTGCCACTTAGCCTCCTGACCAGGGTTTAGAATGGCCGCAGCTGGAGGGCACCCTGGCTGTCTTCACCTCCCAGCGAGCGAGCTCGGGCCTGAGTCCCGGCGCCCCCTACAGGTGGGTGGGGGGCGACAGGAAGGCCTCGCCCTAGGCTTTGAGCTGCCGCATTGCATGCTGGGACTCGTCCCTGCCCTCCTCCTCACAAACCTCGCTCACCTCCGGTGCACTGAGCGGTGAACTGAGCTGCCTGAAATCAACAGTGGGACGGGGTGGGGATCGTGTACAGCTTGATAGCCCTTAATAAAGAAGGGACTTTGACCAGGCCTCCGATTATTGACTCATGCTAAGGTTCCGGGAACAAGGAATTGGGGGGGCGGTGTATGTGTGAGCCAGGTATTTAGGATGCTGGAAGGATGACACCCTTCCTAGACCTGGAAGAATGTTGAATATATGAAGCACATGCAAGCATAACCGTATCTGATCTACGGTTCCGTGGAAGTCAAGGTCTCCAACCGGACACGCAGTCATATTTCCCGCCCAGGGAGCGTGGCCAGGGCGCCTCAGTCCCTGTTATTCCGCGTCCTCCGCATGCAAGCTCTTTCCCCGCCCCTTCGGGGAGATCTGGCCAATGGAGGCTCGGGGGTGGGCCCGGTGGGCGGGGGCCACTGCCGTCGAGAGCGGCGGGGCCCGGAGCGGAGCCGTGCGTTCCTTCCAGCCTGCGCGGGGCCGAGGGTCCAGGGCCGGGAGACAGCGCGGGCTGCACGGGCCGCGAGCCGAGACGCAGACGGCGTACGTGCCCTGCGTGAGTGCGTGGCGGCGGCGCCTGCGCGGAGCGAGTGGTTAGTGGGACCGGGTCCACATGCGTCCCTTCCTGCGACCCCGCCGCTTGGCGCTGGGTCGTTCCATGACCTGGGATCCTCGGTCCCTTTCTCCCGTCCTGCAGATTCGGCCGGCCGCCACGTATCACCATGGTGACTGTAGGCAGCTACTGCGAGGCCGAAGGGCCCGTGGGTCCAGCCTGGACGCAGAACGGACTGAGTCCCTGCTTCTTCTTCACTCTCGTGCCTTCCGTGCTGATGGCCCTGGGGACCCTGGCCTTGATGGTGGCCTTTCCCTGCAAGCGTCGGGAAACGCCAGCAGGTCCCGACGCGCTGTCTTGGGGGGCTGGCCCAAACGTGGCGCCCTACGGGCTGCAGCTCCTCCTGGCCACACTTCAGGTGGTACTGCCCCTGGCTAGACTAGCCGACCGGGTGGCCACCGCCCGGGGGACCCCCCTGCCAGGTTACCTATTGCTGGCTTACATACTGGAAACTCTGGCCAGCGTCTGTGGCCTGTGGCTGCTCACAGTGGAACGTAGACAGGCAAGGCAGAGGCTGGCCATGGGCGTCTGGACGAAGCTGAGGCACAGCCCGGGTCTCCTGCTCCTCTGGACTGTGGCGTTTGCCGCTGAGAACTTGGCCCTGGTGTCCTGGAACAGCCCACAGTGGTGGTGGGCACGCTCAGACTTGGGCCAGCAGGTGAGCGACCCCCATGTGCGAGGGGAAGGACTACACCAACATGCCCAGTTAGAATACTCCAGCTCTGGAATGAATACTTGTAAAGAAAGAATGGGAAGGGCTGGCGCTGTCTGGGGCTGATAGCCAGCTGGTGGGGCGTGTCTGTGCTGAGTCATGGGTGATTTTCTGTCTGTTTTCATTGCTGTCTCTTTGTTTATTTTAAAGGCCTATTATGTGTTGGGCGCCAGGGGAGGAACTGGGCAGTCCCACCTACCAGTCCCTAGTCTGGTAATAAATAGTTCAAAGATGGAAGATTAGCCATTGTTGATACTCCTTTCAATATTTCATTCTAGGTCCAGTTTAGTTTGTGGGTGCTTCGGTATGTGGTCTCGGGAGGACTGTTTGTCTTGGGACTCTGGGCCCCTGGACTCCGTCCCCAGTCATACGCATTGCAAGTCAATGGAGACGACGCAGATGTAGAGAGGAACCAGGTACACCTATATTTGTGAGCCGTAAGGGCTAAAACTAGGGAGCCTTGGTAGTCTAGTGATAAAAAGCAGTGTTCCAGACCCAAAGGCATGCAGTGCACATCCACCAGTTGCGCTGTGGGAGGAGGATGGGCAGTTTCCGCCTGTGTGGTTTATTGCCTCTGAAAACCCGCTGGAGGGTCAAATGAATTGGTTCCAGCTCAACAACAAAATCGGAATGGGAGCTCTTGTGGCTCTGTGGTAGGGAGGTCTGTTGCCATCCCAAAGGCCTGCAGTTCAAATCCGCCAGAATGGCCAGTCTCCTCCCGTACGATTCACACCCTAATGAAACCAGCTTGAGGGTCAGCTATGATTTGGTTCCAACCCAACAGAACATAGCAACAAGGTCTTAAATTTCTTTCTGTAAATTTCTGAAATGTCATCATTCATGTGGCAGTTTGGCTTCCGCTGAGATTTACAAGCTCATGGCAGTGGGTTTGTGGATACCATCATTCCTTCTACTCACAGAAACTCATTCTTTTTTCCCCAAATCTCAGCTTATGGACCATTAGCTTTTCTGACCCCATCCGGGATCACCCGTGAATGTCAGATGCCTGACAGCTCCAGTCCCTCCCATTCTCTGCAGGGTCCCTTGACTTCTGCCTGCTGTACCACCTGCTTTCTGAGCACACCTGTCCTATGTGTTTAACTGTTCTAGGTTAGATCAGCAGAGAGAGCCTCACAGTCTACCTGGAGAGACTTTGGCAGGAAGCTCCGCCTACTCAGTGGCTACCTGTGGCCTCGAGGGAGTCCAGCGCTGCAGCTGGTTGTGCTTATCTGCCTGGGGCTCATGGGACTGGACCGGGGACTGAATGTGTTGGTCCCTATCTTCTATAGGGACATTGGTGAGGGGGCGGTCCTGGGAAGGGACAGTGGACCTTAGTGTAGCATACTGGTTTTTCTTTAGTGAGTGGAATGGCCTTAACTAGGGTGGTGGGACAAGAGGCTGTGAGGGGTGCCGGGGACAGCTTTACCTGAAGAAAGCCCTAGCTCCATAGAAGGCTCTGACTCGCATTCTTCACAGTGAACATGCTGACTGAAAAGGCACCTTGGAGCTCCCTGGCCTGGACTGTTATCACCTATGTGTTCCTCAAGTTCCTTCAGGGCGGTGGCACTGGCAGTACAGGTATGAGGGACCTATGCTCACGCTGGGTGGTATGGGCCATCCCCCCTCCCATGGGCACTCCCCGCCCCAGGCCCTCTGCTCTCCGACCTCTCTTCCTGGTGCTGGGTGGACTTTGCCAAGAGGCCCGGGCCCCACTGGTGCCTCCCTTGGCTCCTTGCAGGCTTCGTGAGCAACCTGCGCACCTTTCTGTGGATCCGTGTGCAGCAGTTCACCGCACGCCAGGTGGAGCTGCGCCTCTTCTCCCACCTGCACCACCTGTCACTGCGCTGGCACCTGGGGCGCCGCACTGGGGAGGTGCTGCGGATTGTGGACCGGGGCACGGCCAGCGTCACAGGGCTGCTCAGGTGCCAAGGCAGGGGACGAGGTTTGGCAGGGCCAGGAATCGAGGGGCCAGTCATCAGAAAGCGGATAGACTGAACCTGAGGAGTGGCCTCTCTTACTCTCTGCTCTTTTCTGTGCTCCATGACGACCAGGTCATGTGGGCAGAGAGCAGACCTACTGACCTTCACTCATCCTGCGAGGTCACCTCAGGGTAGAGTTCTGCATGTTTTGCATGTTGGCACAAACATGAGCAAAAATACAGAACTACTCGAGTCTGTAACGTTTCCCCTAAAACACGTTGTGTCTGAGATAGGCTTCATTCTCAGGGTTGCTTTACGTTGCAGGGCTAGTTTATCATTTTTGAACACAGTGTCATTGATTATCATTGATACGGAGACTTCTGTAGTTTGCACAGACTGGTTAATTTACCATCCCCACTTGGGAGACCTTTACATTGATTTCAGTTTTGTCACTTGTAGAAACCAAACCCTGCACTGACACTCGGAGAGGGAGAGTGGCTGGTCTGAGCCCACCTCTCTTTGTCACCTGCCTCACCCTCCTAGCTACCTGGTGTTCAACATCATCCCCACGCTGGCCGACATCGTCATCGGCATCATCTACTTCAGCATGTTCTTCAATGCCTGGTTTGGCCTCATCGTGTTCCTGTGCATGAGCCTTTACCTCAGTGAGTACCGCTCGGTGGGGCCGCCTCGCCGGGCTCTGCAGGGTCTCCCTCAGCACGAGCCCTGCCTGTCTGTGGGGTGACATGGCGGGTGGGCTGCTCCTCTGCCAGGTGAGCTTCATTTGGCTTATCTTGAGTGGAGGGCTGAGGAAGGGCATCCTGGGAAAATCCAGTCAAGGAGAAACCTTGTTTGTATAACAAGGTACAGTTCGTTTACATTGTTTCTCTGAGCCCATTTTCACACATGAGCCCTTGTGCCACTGCAGAGGTGTCTTGGATGTGGCCCTCTCCCGCTGAGATCTTGGCGCTCCCCTGTTCTCCCTCTTGAATGTAGGCCAGCAGGTTCCAGCCTTGCTGTGCATGTGTCAGGGAGCAGATATCTATACTGCATGCCTGCTGCTGGGAATGAGCTCTTGAGCTCTGTTCCACTCTCCCTTCTTTTCCTCCTGACCTTCTCCAGTCCTGACCATTGTGGTCACTGAGTGGAGAGCCAAGTTCCGTCGTGCAATGAACACCCAGGAGAATGCCACCCAGGCACGAGCAGTGGACTCCCTGCTAAACTTCGAGACGGTAACAGAGGCTGTGGGGGCAGTGGTGTGAGGCAGGAGGGTCTTGGAGGAACAGGATTTCTTGAGCCCCAGAACTGAGGAGTATGGTGTGTGGTGTTTGTAATTGGGAATCTGGAGTGAGAAGATCTGGGTGTGAGAGCTGTGTCTCAACAGTGCTTTGCATTCGTCAGGTGAAGTATTACAATGCAGAGGGTTATGAAGTGGAACGCTATCGAGAGGCCATCATCAAATACCAGGTGAGGAGGTCCGTCTCAGGCCTGCTGAGAACGAGGACCTGGGACTACAGAATTGCTGGATTAACAGGAGTAGAATTTGACTGTGAGGTTGGAGATACCTGGGCCCGAATTTGAACTTGGTGATAATCAGCATGTATGTGATGTCCTTCCCTCCCTTGTGTCGCACTCAGGATCTGGAGTGGAAGTCAAGTGCTTCCCTTGTGTTACTCAATCAGACCCAGAATCTAGTGATTGGACTCGGGCTCCTCTCTGGCTCCCTGCTCTGTGCTTACTTTGTCAGTGAGCAGAAGCTGCAGGTGAGGCAGAATCTGGGAGAGAGGCTGGGGATTGTGCTACGGATGGGAAAGCAGGGGGTCGAGGCAGAAGGCCGTGCACCAGCAGGCTTCTGAGTGGGGAGTGGGCAGTGGGATGGGGGAACAGCCTGAAGCCTCTACTGACACAGTCCTCTTCCCTGCGTCTGCATCTCTACAGGTTGGAGACTTCGTGCTCTTTGGCACTTACATCATCCAGCTGTACATGCCCCTCAACTGGTTTGGCACCTACTACAGGTATTGAGACCCCTGGCCCTCACCTCTGCAGGGGGCATTGATACTTCCCAGGCTTCTCAGAGGCACCCGAACCACCAGCCTTCTCCTCCCAGGATGATCCAGACCAACTTCATCGACATGGAGAACATGTTTGACCTGCTGAAAGAGGAGACAGAGGCAAGGGAAGAGCGAGGAGGAAAGTTGGGTGGGCCGGGAGCTTACTTCTTGTGTCAATAGTCTGTAACACACACACATGTGTTGGCAACACCCTCCCAGGTGAAAGACCTTCCTGGAGCAGGACCCCTTCGCTTTCAGAGAGGCAAGATTGAGTTTGAGAATGTGCACTTCAGTTATACTGATGGGTGAGCTCTTTCCCCATGTTAAACATGTCACTGTCTTCCTGCCCCTCTTTAGCTCCCTCCTACCTGTGAAGAGAGCCTGAGCAGGGGCAGAATGGAGCCAGTGGCTCTGGTGATGAACGAGGGCCTGGGGCATGCAACACACCTGCTGACCATGCCCTCTTGGTTTTCCAGGAGGGAGACTTTGCAGGATGTGTCCTTCACTGTGATGCCTGGACAGACTCTGGCCCTGGTGAGAGGACACTCAGCCACTCGGGTCCCCATACTCCTTCAGCATCCCTGCTTCTCTGCAGTGGGGACTCAGAGCCCATGGTGACCTGTCACAGGACCAAATGTGGCAGCTCGATCATCATTGGCTCCTAGGAAGGAGCACAAGAAACCTATGATCCTGAGAGTGGCCCCTGTTTTCAATGCACCAGGTAGGCCCATCTGGAGCTGGAAAGAGCACAGTTCTGCGCCTGCTGTTTCGCTTTTATGATGTCAACTCCGGTTGTATACGAATAGATGGGCAGGACATTTCCCAGGTAAGGCAGCTTGAGAGAAGACTGGCGTTGAGGAGCCTGGAGGTTGGGGGCATCCAGGGAGAGTAGATAGCACGTACCTGTGTAAAAAGCTGGGCCAGGAAATTTCAGCCTGTCTAGCCTATAACCAGTTGTGAGTGCTGTGTGTCAGTCATATCCTGCCAAGTACCAACATATTCCACAGCAGTCTAATGAAGTGGACAGAAGAAGTATTTTCTTTCCACAGATGGTGAAACAGAGCTTGATGTGGTTTGAGTGATGTAGGATGGTGTTGGGCAGACTTCTACCCAGGGCTTCCTTCTTATCCCATGTGTCTCCTACCAGCCCACCCTGCCTCCTACCCCGGGGAGTCCCACAGGAGTGAGCTATGGTCTTTTGGCCCCAGGTGACCCAGAACTCTCTTCGATCTCACATTGGAGTTGTGCCCCAGGACACAGTCCTCTTCAATGACACTATTGCCAACAACATCCGCTACGGCTGCGTCACAGCCAGAGATGAGGAGGTGGAGGCTGCTGCACGGGCGGCAGGCATCCACGAGTCCATCTTGGCTTTCCCTGAAGGTGAGGTCTCCTGCAGTGTCCTCACCCTGTCCATTGCAGTCCTGTTCATCCACTGACCACTGCGCCAACACAGAAGCTAAGTGAAATACACATAACTTGAGGGGACGGGATATCCACAGGGTATGAGACTCAAGTGGGAGAGCGGGGCCTGAAGCTGAGCGGTGGTGAGAAGCAGCGTGTCGCCATCGCTCGCACCATCCTTAAGGCTCCAGATATCATTCTGCTGGACGAGGTAAGAGCCCTTGGCAGCTTTCCCCTTACTCTGCTTCTGCCTCCTGCTTAAGCCACTTGTGCTGGGCCCAGTCCCCATCCAGGATAGAGAATGTGTACCCAGGTTTTACAGCAAGCCTGAGTTTTGAAGGCCCGACAAGGGGTTCATGAGGCCCAGTCAGTGACTGCCTGCAGCCTCCTTCCATTAGGGGCTTGGGGCAGCAGGGGCAGTTAATTCAGAGCCTGTCTTTAGGCCACATCAGCACTGGATACATCAAATGAGAGGGCCATTCAGGCCTCTTTGGCTAAAGTCTGCGCCAACCGCACCACCATCGTCGTGGCACACAGGTACAAGACTATAGTTCCAGGTCAGAGTGTTATGGGCCCCCCCTCCCCTTTGGTGGTGTGTTAGATAACTAGTGTCTGATTTCTCAGGCTCTCGACTGTGGTCAATGCAGACCAGATCCTCGTCATCAAAGATGGTCGCATTGTGGAGAGAGGACGGTAAGGTCTCTGGGGGGATGACCAGGATAGTACCTCTGTTAGCGCTTCACTAAGAGGTTTCTAGAAGGATCTCCCTTGGGCAATGTGTTCTCTTCCTTGAATGCCCAAGAAGATCTTAGGATAAAACTTGACATCTGTGACTTTCCTCCCTGACCCAGGCATGAGGCTCTGCTGTCCCGAGACGGACTGTATACCACTATGTGGCGCCTGCAGCAGCAGGGACAGGAAGATATGTCAGAAGACACTAAGTCCCCGACCACAGAAAGGTGACAAAAGTCGTGGCCACTTCCTTGCCAAAAGACAGCTTGTAGAATGGAAGGATCCCTTTCCCTTGACATATTTCATCGCCTTGAGGCATGGCTGGAGGGAGGGAAAGGGGTCTTTCAGAAAAATCACTATGGGTAAATAAAATTGTGGACTGTTGTGGCTGTGGCTTTGTGGCAGTGGTGCATTGCAGCTGACCTCTAGCCCAAGGTCTGCTAAATACTCCTGACAAGACTCGTCTGATTCTGGGTGGAGAGAGGAAAGAACACGGACACGAAGATGCATTACTGGATGCCAAGATCTTTTACTCTTTTTCAGGGTCCTCCCTGCCCACTACATATGGGGGCAGCCCTGGTATAGGAGGGAAGACATATGATGCAGGGGGTTGAGGAGGGCCTGGCAGCACCCACCAAGGCTCTGCCAGGGCACAGTCCATAATCACTCCCATCCATCTGGAGAGTCCCCCAGGGCCTTCTGTAAGCTCAGCATCACAGGTCTGGCGCTGCCAGCTCCTGGAGGCAGTGTCCGTGTCACTCCTGCCCGTCTGTCCGTTCCAGTTTGCTTTGGGCCTCTCCCTGTGGACCCTAGAGGTGTGGGGCCACAGTCGTCCTCAGTCACGCCTCCCTCCCCAAGCCCAGTGCCCTAGCACAGGTTGCAGGTAGACGGCTTCAAGCTGCGGCTCTGGGCCTGGAGCAAGGAGAAGGAGAGGAGAGGGAGACAGGAAGTGATGTCAAGGAAACGAGGACAGTCCTTCAGAGCCATTCAGAATGTTCTGGAGTTATACAGAAAACAAAAGAATAACCAACACTCCAGATGCTTCACCCCTGGAAGCAAGCAAGTAAGAAATGACCTCTTCCTCCCTCCCAGTGCCAGGACCCCATTTTTATGGCACCCTCGTCATACCTGCTGCTGTCGGTATTCCGCTTCACTGGCTGACAGCGCTTGTGCTAACGCTAAGTCTTCTTCCTCCTGAGAACTGAGGAAGAGGAGCAGCTTAAATTGGATGCCATTAGTATCTAAAATATGAGTACCTGCTCTGTGCAGCATCCCTTTGCGAGCACTTAACTCGGTCTTCACAGCCACCCTTACCAGAGAGGTTATTAACACCAGCCCCATTTTGTAGAGAACATTACGACCCTCAACAGGTAAAACAGCTTTGTCAGATGTTCTACAATTAAATTTGAACCCAACTTCCTTTTCTTGCATCAGGCCAAGTGTGGTCCTAAGTCTTACCCTCCCAGTTTGAGCCTTTGCCCAGCTCCCAACTTTCACAAGCAGTTAGGTACCTAGGGACCTGGGGCTTGATCTCTGCCAGTGACAGTTCCAGGGCTCGCTGCAAAGCCTCGTCCTCACTCTGCAAGAGGAAGAAGAAGACCAGTTGCCAGTAACTTGACTTTTGAGTTTGCCTCTCCATTCAACCTCCTTCCCAACTCACCAAGCCATTCTGCAAAGCAATCACTGGAGGGGCTGTCCGGGATGGAGACTGAGTTGAGACTCTATGGCAAATATTAAAAAAGTAGAGGTTAGAGATCTGGTGTGTGGAGCGGTGGGAGAAGAGAAGTCATGGACAGGTTTACCTGCTTGGAGAGGTAGATGAAGCCACAGTCTGACTTGGGCTGGGGGTGGTGCTTGTAGAAGCAGCCAGACCTTGGGCTCTGGAAAGGGCAGCAAGCCTGCAGGGAAGCAACACTCTTAAGCCTCCAAACATCACCTGCTAACATGTTACCCACAGGACTTACCCAGCCACCCCAGGAAATCAAAAGGAGAGCTGCTCCACAGAGCCCCAGAAAACACCCCAAGTTCTGTCTCAGAACTAGCACATGTGGGCTTGGAAAGAAAGCCAAAAGGCTCTCCTAGCAAAGTCAAATTGGAGTGACAGGTTGAACCCATTTCCAAAGAAGGGTATTGTCCTCCAAGACAAGACAACTTGGTTTCAATTACCCTGCCCGGCTGGTCGGGTGTCCCTCCCCGGAGCACTCATGGTCCAGCGGATGACGGTGCTTAATGCAGAAGTTTCGGCCACAGCGATCGCAGGTGAGTTTCATCATTTCTCGCTGGCGGCAGCCAGAGCGTTCACACTTATTGGTGTAGATCTAGGGGGGGGGAGCGGGAAGGTGTATCTCAGCGGAGAATGACCTTTTCCCCCCTAACCTCATCACAGCGGCTTTCTGCAAGCACTGTGGCCCAGCCTGGTCCGGTGGTCGCTGTCTACCCCCTCCAGTGCTCACCTTCCGTTTTTGCTGTGCGGGATCCGACCGACAGTCTCTGTCAATGTGCTCCCCGACAGCACGGTCAGGGGGCTCCCCTCTGGCCACAGGCACAGGCACATTACAGAGTGGACACACCGGCACCTGGATATCCTACAGGCAAGGAGCAGGGATCAGCCCGAGGCCCACTCCCAGGCCAACCTGATGCAGAATATATCCCTCGAAAACGCACAGAAGTGCCTAAGGAGCTTGGCAAAGCCAAAGGGCTGCACGGAGTCTGCAGGCATCCGCTCCCCTCCCCAGGGGCCCTCAGCACCGCCCCCTCACCTTTTGGTAAGCAGATCCACAGTGATGCTGGGCATAGGCCACATGGTCTGCGCAGAAGATGCCCGAGCAGGCGTCGCACTTGAGCGGCAGAAAATCTGCAGGAAGTGGGTCCCGTCACAGGTTTAAGCGGGGCCTTGGGTCCTTTTCCCATCACTCAAGCTTTCCCATTTCGGAGAAGGGGAACGCTTTCCTGAACAGCCCAACTCTGTGTAACAAACGACAGCCTCTCCCTAGTTTACTATCTCCTTAGCCACGCCTCTTAGACACCGCCCCGAACTCCGCGGCCCGCCCCCTCTGACCCGCCAGCCCCGCGCCCACCCGGCGGCCACCTGCGGTCGCAGGACCTTCTGGCCCCGGCCCGCGGGCTCCGACCCTTACCCAAGCGCTGACAGCTCGGCTCGGAGCAGTGCGCCCCGAGGTCCGGGAACTCCATTGCGGGGAACTGGCAGGGTCTGCTCAGCGAGGAGGCGAGGGCCGTGCACCTCCTGAGCCTCTACTCCGGGTCCCGGTTGCGACCCCGCACTCAGAGGGGTCCCCGCGCCGCCCCCGCCCAGCCCGTGTTCGCGAAGACCTCGGCGTCTGCCGGCCCGCGCCTCCCATCCCTCCTCTGGCGCACGGAGCGCGCTGACATCATCGCGCAGGGCGGGCACGTCCCGAGCAGTCACCGGGAGGCGGGGAACCGGCTGCGGAGCCCCGCCCCTCCCGCCTGGCAGGGGGCCGGCTCTTGGGTGACACTCTCCGGACCGGCCAGCAGGTGGCCGGACCTTCTCGCGGTCCTGGGAGTAGTTCCCAGGGGGCCGGGGGAGGGGCCGACGGCTGGGTGACACTCTCCCGACCGGCCAGCAGATGGCCCGCCGCCGCCCCGGTGTATACAGTTCCGAGTTACAGGGGAGAGCAGAAAGCCCGGCGAATGCATGCACAGCTGTTGTTCTGGCAAAGAAGAGTGGAAAGCTTTGGGATCTTTCACAATTCGGTCTCCATCCTACTTCTCACTCTACAGCTTCCCTTTGGGGGTCAAGCCTTCCCTTCACCAACTGACGGACGACTTCCAAAACTCTCTGATGTGCAGATTTCTCTCCAGAACTGCACATCGTTTCTGCATGGGTGTCTTACTTTTGTTGTTAAAAGCTGCACAATCGGCCCCGATGCATAGTGACCCTGTGAACATCCTGCACCATCCTTGCGGTCTCCTGCGCCTGAGCCCATTGGTGCAGGCTCTTCAGACAATCCACTTCACTGAAGTTTCCTCTTTTTCGCTGCTCCTCTATCAACCATAATGTCTGCCTTTAGAGTCTGACGCCTTCAGATAACATGTCCAAAATATATGAGACAAAAATCTCACCATCTTGGCTTTTAAGAAGCAACGTTTGCAGCATAACCTATGGCAAGGATTTGAACTCCAGTGCACCTAACAAGAAGAGAGGTGAAAGGTAAACCTAGATTAGAATAACCCACACACGCACACAATTTAGTAAATAGTGTGTTGTTGCGCTGATTATCACTGTGGCTCAATTTTACTGGCCACCCAAAGGAACCATACAGAACTGACTCCTGTCTTGAACAAATTAAGGATTGCTGCTGGGTGGAGTGGAGTGTGATAGGGAGTTCTGGTGGCCTAGTGAGTGAGGACTTTCACTGCCAAACCCAAAAAGGGCGGTTCAAATCTATCTACCAACTGCTCCTGGTGAGAAAGATGCAATGTTCTCTTCAATTTACAGCCTCTGAAAACCTGCTGTAGGGGGCTGGGTCAGTGCCTGCTCCAGAGCAATGTCTCTAGTCTGAGTTGGAAGTGATAAACGTCCACACTCTCATTTCCACATCTACCAGCCAATCTCTTGCGTACAAGTACAATCTCTTGCACTATGGAGTCTTTGTGGGAAAACCAGGAGGAAGGAATACTGAGACAGGGCTTTGAGGTGAGTAGCCACTAAGCTCTATAGCTGCAGCTCAAGTGGGAGATGAGTCAAATGCATGTAAGAGGGCACTAGGAGCATCTGTTCTATTCAGCTTGTCAGATTCTCCCCTGGGAATTTGTAATCATGACAAGAGAATCCGTGTTTACCATATACCTGAGGTCTAGGGGGGGGGGAGAGATTGTAACCTGCAGTGCCCTGACTGGCGGACACAATGAGCTCCACGCATAAGTTGTCAGGTACGGTCAAGTCACCTATGACTCATACGTAGCAACACCATGAACAACAACAGATCACAACCTTGTCCTGTCCTACACCATCGCCACATCTCCTCCATACTAGAACCCATTGTTACAGTCCTTGTGTCAATCTATCTTTTTTATTATTATTTTATTATTATTGTGTGCGTGTACTGTCAAATCGGATCTGACTGGTACAGGAGGAGATCGCCCCTCCTTCTCCAGCAGAGCATCTGGTGGATTTGAACCATTTACCTCTGGGATTGCAGTGCAGCTTCTTGCCACTATGTGTCAATCTATCTTGTTGAAGGTCTTCCTTTCTTTCCATGAACCTATATCTTTCCCAATATGATGCTTTTTCCCCCCAAGGACTGGCCCCTCCAAATAACATGCCCAAAGTATTTGACACGGTTTCAACATCGTTGCCTTTAAGAAGCACTCTGGTTGCACTTACTCCATGACAGACTTATTTGTTCTTTTGGTAGTCCTTTGTATCTACAATACTCCTGCCAGCATCACATTTCATAAAAATGCCGTTTTTATGGAATTCACAATTCCATAAAAAGAGATTGGTTTTATAACTCACACCCATTTATTTAAGTCATATGATTACTGACTCTTAACCTCGTCCTAAAGTTTACCCAACAAGCTGTGGGTAACTGCCCACAGTAACTGCCTTTTCTGTCTCATTGGTTTTACATTTACTGTCTCTTTTAAGATATTATGAGTCACTTCACTAGATTGAGCACATTGTTCAAGTCTTTGTTAGACTCGGTCATAACCTGGAATCACTCTGAGACATACAGGAGTCCAGGTGTGCACTAAGGGCCCTCTGCCATGGAATTTGCTTTTAACCTTGACACTTTTGAAAGCACATTTTATTGAAGGTCTTAAAACACAATTCCAAGACTCCACCATCTGTGGGAGCTGTTATGTTGAAGCACATTGCTAATAGTTGACAGTTTTGTACGTTTTTTTTTTAATTGAAATTCCATCTTTATTAGTTTATTGAAAAAAAAAACCAAAACAATAAAAACACACAAAGATCCTAACTCAGTGATCACATATACAAAGGCAAAGTAAACTCACAAGGAACTAATTTTCTCATCATTTTGGAGGTGCTAGCAGATCACTAGCCTGCTGTCTTTTCCATTTCATGAGTTTTCATGAAGCTGCAAAAAAATTGCTAGTTTTAATATAATTTTCTAGACTTCAACTTAATGTGCAGTTTAGGGTGTACAGAAGTTTTGTACGTTTAAAATGACAATTTCATATGGGTTAATATTAGCACAGGACACTGGCAAGAAAATGTTTTCTGACCTGCTGTCTGATCCTCAGCCTGCTGGAATTTGGAGCCCAGCTGTGAAGATAAATATGTTGTTTGGGATTATGGTTTAAAGTCCACACATCCAGTGGATTGACTCTCAAAAAAAAAAAAGTCTGTTGTCAGGGACCTCTTCAAAGTGCTAAAGAGCAATAATGTTTGTTTGAAGATTTAGGTGTATCTGATCCAAACTTATTTTCAGTTACTTGCTATGGAGCTGAAAGTTGGACAGTGAATAAGGATGACAGAAGAAGAATGCTTTTGAGTTGTGATGTTGGAGAAGAGTGCTTAAGAGTGCCAAGGACTGCCATAAGGGCAAATAACTATGTCTTGGAAAAAGTATAGCCAGGGTTCTCCTTGGAGGCAAGGCTAGTGAAACTTTGTCTCATGTACTTTGAGCATGTTTTTGGGAGGGGCCAGTCTTTGGAAAAAAGACATAATATTTGGAAATGTCAGCAAAGAAGGGGAAGACCCTCAATGAGATGGACTGAAACAGTGACAGCAGCAGTGGGCTCAAGGATGTCAGAGATGGTGAGGACGGCACAGGGTCAGACAGGGTTCAGGTCAGCTGTCCATAGGGTCACTGTGAGTAGTAGTTGACTCAACAGCACTTAAAAACAACAGTAGAGTTTGGAGATGACCACAACAAAATCAAGTATCTCCCTGTCAATCTCCTAGTGTGCCCAGTTCCGCTGATTATCCACTTTTATGGGTTGATTCGTGTCAATTTGGTAGGTTGTTATTTTTCAGTATTAGGTAATTATTCTCCATCTTGTGCTATGACGCAATTGTCCTCTGTGCCTGTGACATCAGTCTTAACCACTATGAAGTTAATGAGCTAACATTACTGACAATTACGCTAATGAGATAGGATATAATCGACAGGATTAAATTATATTTTTTTATTTTTAAAAAAAATGTATTAATTTTAATGAACATTTACAGAGACTTTGGATTTCCATTCATTCATTGTTGCATTTTTCTCCCTGCCCACCCCTCCCCCCAAGTTCGCTCTTCTATTTGAAAAGTAAAAGAAAAATTCTTTCATTGTTATACAATCCCCACCTCCACCCCAACCCCGAGTATACTCCACTATGCAACCTTCATTCTGGACTCGTCATGATCATAACACCCAATCATATATTGCTTTTACACAGTTCTCTCCCTCATCTGTTTCAATGCAGTATACATTATTTATCCCCTCTTTCTAGGTCTCCCTCCAACCCTGATGTCAGTCCCATTCTACAACAGTGGCACTATGCAGTATTTGTCCTTTTGTGACTGAGATATTTCACTTAGCATAATGTCCTCCAGGGTTACCCATTTTTAATAATATTGCATAAGTTCCTTGTTTTTCAATGCAGCATAGTATTTCATTGTGTGAATATACCAGAGCTTTTCTATCATTTGTTTGTTGATGGGCACTTGGGTTATTTCCAACTCTTTGCTATTGTGAACAAAGCAGCAGTAAACATGGGTGTGCATCTATCTGCCTGGGTGGCAGTTATGGTCTCTTTGGGGTATATTCCCAGGAGTGGAATTGCTGGGTCAAATGGTATTTCTATTTGCAACTTTCTGAGAGAGCACCATACAGCCTTCCATAGTAGTTGCACCATTTTACACTGCCACCAACAGTGAATAAGGGTTCCAGTTTCTCTGCAACCTCACCAGCAGTTGATGTTTGCTAAGTTATATATTTTTAAGATAATTTTTTCATTTTCATTGTGATTTTAATGAAAGTTTACAAAATAGATTTTCATTCATTCATTCACTCTTGCACATTTTCCTCCCTCCACCTGTTGACTTTCTTTTTAAAAAATATTTTCATTCATTTTTCCACAATTTCTTCCTTCCTTGGTCTGCAGAGAGAGAGACAGGAGAAGGACAGACCAGGGAAATACCTCACCCTAGGGTGGATTAGTGCAGGTTTTATAGTAAGGATCTTTAGGGAGGGAAGGAAGGGATATTCCA